GCCTTGTTCGGAGAAACGGGTCTCGCTGAGTGCGGCGATGTCCACCTTGTAGCGCGCCAGTTCTCGTGCCACTAGCGCCGTCCTCCGCTCCGGTCGGTTGCTCCTCGGATTGTCTAAAAGGGAACGAACATTCCAGGCTGCCAGAGTGAGCGCGCTCACCCTGCCAGTCTGGTGACAACGAGTGGGGCGACGGGAAGGAGATGGAGAAGAAGATGACGAAGAAGAATAGGCAGAAGAATAGACGGAGGTAGAGAAGGAAGAGGTAGGATGAGGAGAATGAGTATGGTTGTTGTTGTTGTTATTGGTATTTTTGTTGTTTCGATTTTGATTGTTTCGACCATGTTTAGACGTCTGCGGCCCTGGCTAGCCTGGAGACGGCGTGGTACCCAGCAATGTTTAGGCCACCTTTTCTAGGCCCTTCCCCTCGTGGGGGCTGGCAGTGCCATCCCTGAATAGGGCTGCCATGTGCCGTTGTGGCACGGCCGAACTCCACTATGGGACCACGACTTCGGGTTGTAGTGGAGAGCGACTCGAATTCGCCGTAAGCCGCGGTCTCCGTCGGCGAAGGTGGGCGCGTCAAGGCGGTGTCGATGTGGAGATCCATCCCGTCACCGGCTGTCGAGCGACGTGCAGAGACGAACCACGTCACGACGGTGCCGACGCAAGGTTCCATCCGACCTTCCATCCAGCGGAATCCGCAAACCCTGTGCACACGGCACAGCGCACAGGGCCCCCTCACCTGGTTTAGCCCGCCGGTCGAGACGGTTGCCCGGGGTGTGGCCGCTGAGCAGAGCCCAGCTACGTGGAGCCACAGGTGAGAGTTGAGTGCCAGCAAGTGGACGCTAGGCGCAGTCTCACCTGCAAGCAAGTGAGCGACCACCACGACCATTACGTGAACCCACCGCTGACACCCCTACGCCCCAAGGCACACCTACATATGACTGAATGTACCACCATCAAGGATTTAGGTTTAAGCTACACTAGTAATCTTGATCTCTCGCCGCACGCTGACAGAATTACAGCCAAAGCTACCCAGATTTGTGGCTTTATTTCTTACAATTTCTATCTTCCTGAAATTAAATTAAGGCTCTATCGTATGTTTGTACTTCCCATTCTCGAGTATTGTTGCCCATTCTTTGGTTTGATGAATGAAGCCAGTCGTTTAAAAATTGAAAATGTCCAAAGACGTTTTTCTAAAAAACTTTTGGATAGGGAACATCCCAATATCTCCTACTCAGATAGATGCCAGCTAATTAACCTAAAATTTTTATGGGTTCGGAGACTAAAAGCAGGCTTCTGTCTCCTCTTTCGCATTACTCATAGTTCAAATCTTCCTCGGATTTCAACACTTACCCCTAGTAGTCGCCCATACAATCTTCGCAACTCGTCTCTAATTATGCCTCCTCCAGCGTCCTCCATCTCTAAGCGCTCCCTTTTTTCGCTTCCAGATATACTTTCCTCTGGAATAACCTTCCAATAAATATAAGATCTTCAGAAAATCTGCACAACTTTAAGAGAAGGCTACGCCTTTATCTGAATACTGACTCGATTAAACTTTTATTTTCCTCATCCTTCGCAGACAACTTTTTCTATGACACTGAGAAAGGGCCGCCGGGAATTTAGCATGCCGCTGTTAAATTTCCGTATCTGTTCACGTTTCCTTCCTTTATGAGTAGTCTGGATACCTAAGATCCCTCACCAGAAATGTTAATTATTCCAATTTTTCAGTTCATGCATCGTGCCCTCACAGAATGCGCACCATCGATGCTCTTGGCGAAACTTTCTGTATTCGCTATATACTAGTATTCTGGTCGCATCTTCCTTCCCCAATGCTCGGATGGACTCGGTTGAATGAAACCGACCGCATCTGGGTTCCTATCAGCTCGAGACTGGTTTTCAATTTCGCCACTTTTTTTTTATTCAAGGCGATACAGGCCAGTCCTGACCGACCCGCCTACGTACCATTTTATGAAATCCGTCACACAGTGCCATATACAGCTGACATTTATTTCGGCCATGTTGATGTCCGACTATATTCCATTCTATACCGTCACATGCAGGCCAGTCCTCCCTGCATTTTTCTGATGCTATTTTTTGAGGTTTTTTTTCTCCTGTTAGATTACTACAATCATTTTTAAATTTCGCTATGGAGTTTTTTTTTCACCCCTCGTTTTTCATTTTGCTTAACGGACTTCTAATCTCAAAAACTATGTATTGCACTTTGTACAGATTTGGCCTACCATGTCTAAAATTCGCATGTAAATTTATTTTTACTTGCTTTGATGGGACCTCGACGGGTCTTTAATAAAAATAATTGAATTGAATTGAAGAGTCCCCAGAGTCGACCTCACTTCCTCTTCCCCCTACTATGCACCGGCTGACTGGCCGAATTTGTCCGTCACCTGGTACTGAGGTCGGTCGCACTAACCGACAAAGCTGCAGATAAACGGTCACGAGAAGGAAAGACGAGCGGGAACTATGGTCAAGTTTCAGTTCCCTTATCGTTCTATCTCCTAGCGACTGCGTCTGCGATGGAAGTCGGGCTTCTCAACGCATCTGGCCAACCTGTGGATGCGTCTCACGATCAGAAATCTCCTTTATTTTAACGTCCTGCCTCCTAACCCAATTTTTTCCCTCTGTTTCTCGTTCCATATCTTTTTTACATCAATGAACTTGCGTACATCAATTCATATTACTGACTGATTGTGCGTTGACATCATGGATATTATTCGGACACTAGACAAACGAGTTATGTTCTGACAGATTATAGCCACCGAGCGACAAGACTGCTATGATCCGGACCCCGAAGTTCGCTCGATCCCTATGGGGCCGTACAGCAAATTATAGCCAGAGAGAAGGACGTCATTGTTGGCGACTGACGCCGGACCCTACTCACCTCGCATTCTACTGTCCCAGGTCCCACATCCACACAGCCGTTTCTGTCAAACAACCAACCGACTACCCGACCCTCTTTTGTCCTCCGACGTTTATTAGTCTGGCCAAATTATTCGGCACCGGCTAGTTGGAATTTCTTTTTTCCTCACCGACATCTCTCCAGCTGGCCATACCCGCTATATGCTGCGTTTTCTTTCGCTCACAACATGCCAGCTGACAATAACAGCCCAAATTAATATTTTAATACTGTTTAACACGGCCACCAAGATGATGGCGACGCTTTTTGGTAACCATTTATCACCTGGAGTTGCCTATGAATGTCTTTGGTTCACACATGACCTGGTATGACACGAGGTTTCGCCAAAACATGCTTCCTCTGAGAGGAGAGACGCATATCTCATGCATCTGGTGGTTAATATGGGCTGGTTTATGTGCGATGTAGGAGTTGGTAGGGCAAAGTATGTTAGCGTGGTTTGAACTGTGGTGTTTGGCCGCAGATTTGAATGGAGGTATATACGATCGAGTACATCCACGCGGCGTCTGAATTATCATTGGTGCTGTCGGTAGCTGAAAGAAATGCGCCGGATGTGTGTTGGTGCTCTTGGCACTAGTACATCTGTATCAGTGAGGTGGATTCTCATGCAATTGGCCAGTCATTTGCGTGATATGAGGGCACAATTGTAATGGGGACAGTTTAGGAACGAATCTGTATTAGTGGTGCTGGGAGTGGTCGTAGTAGGAGTGGTGGAGGTTGTTATGGGTGATAGAGCGTCGGTAGTTTTCTTACGAGTGGCGAGAGTGAGGGTGGTGGTCATCAGAGTCGGCGAGTTTTAGACGAGGTAGGCCGAATCTTTACAAAATGCAATTCCTAGTTTCTGAATTAGAAGTCCTTTGAGAAACATGATGATTGAGGGGTGAAAAAAACTCCTTACAAAAAGTTAAAAATGATTGGATTAATTTTACAGGAGAAAAAAAACCCCTCCATAAAAATAATAACAGAAAAAAGCGAGCAGGACTGGCCTGTAGGTGGCGGTATATAACGGAATGTTGTCGGTCATCGTCAGGGTAGCAATAAATGTCAGCCTTGTTGGGTACGAATGTGGGTCAGACAGGACTGGCTTGCAAATGGCATTGTATACGTCTGGGCCGGAATGGTACGCCGCGTCGAAGAGGCCAGACGAGAGGAACCGAGATGCGATCGGCCACAGCACGCTTCGAGCTCAGCCGAGCAGTGAGGAAGGGAGGTACGACCGAACTACTAGTTGCTGGAGGAGTTGGTAGTGGCGTGTTTTTACCAGGCGTGTTGGTGTGTTTAAAGATATCGGCATCAAGAGTAGTCGAATCCCCTACGTAATTGACTATGCCGTGATGGGCAGAGCCGCAGATGGCGTTGTAGAAGACTTATTCAGACTGACAATAGGTGTCATCATCGCGGTGTTGGTTTTTGAAAATTTCAATTTATTCAGTCTTCGCTGCAATCGCGTGAGGTCCGGCGAAACGGGGCAGTGCCATTTACGGCAGAATTCTCTAGTAATCTCCCTCCTCGACAAGATAAAATCGACTTCTATCAAGGAGAAAAGGGTAACTAATATTGGCGCATTACGACCGAGCGAGAGCAGTCGTTTAACTTGTGCGACACTGAAACCCAGGCACCAACTCTGAAGGAACAAATGCGCTCCCTCTATAGCAGATGAGCGACACGGAATGTTTCGCAGTGGAAAATTATGTTTGCGTTTGATTCTCTCCTCAGTTTAAGAACTTATTTCTCCAATACCTTTAAACGCCTGATCAATGACTTTTTCAGAGGTGATGCTTATGTCGCCATATATCGACTGATCGAGTATTTTGTCG